CTCCATTGGGATGCCGCGTCTCCATTGGGATGCCGCGCCTCCATTGGGATGCCGCGTCTCCATTGGGATGCCGCGTCTCCATTGGGATGCCGCGCCTCCATTGGGATGCCGCGTCTCCATTGGGATGCCGCGCCGCGTCTCCATTGGGATGCCGCGCCGCAGGTTAGCGGCTCCTCTCCTGGACTGAAATGGCTTCCTCTGACGTCACTGTACACTGGGAGCTTCTCACAATGTGCATCAGAAGCTGCAGCAAGTCAGAGCCCGCCTCATTTCCTGGCCGGGGGACGTCCAGCATCATCTAGTCCTTTCCTCCTGTCCTTTTGAAATGCCCGCTCTTCACACTCGTTCTCCGGAAGTCACATGCTCTGCGTTGTTGTGTTTTTTAGGGCCGTCCATGTTGGGGATGTTTTGTGTGTTTCCGGGATCTCGCACGCCGATTTCCCGCAGAACAAATCTTCTGTCCCGGTCAGGTTTGTATTCTGATCATTGTGAATGTTGGACAATAAAGCTTCACCAATGTTGTCCACTACAGGGGTTTGGTTACAGCCAAAACTGGGGCCACCGCTTTGGTGAAGACACGATTGGCAAATATGGATCCTTCATGTCCAATGCTACAAAGTCTGCTGCTGGCAGGGGGGGTGGATTCCATACATAGTTTGTGTCTCTGCCCCTCCCACAATGGTGAGATTTCCCTCCAGTAGTTTGTGTCAAGCAGCTTGTCCCCAGCGGGTCTCCCCCATGTTATTGATGACATGTGCCGATTGCTCCAGCCCCACCTCCAGAACAGGTGAGATTGTCCTCCGCCTACACGTATGTGTGTGTGCATGTACACCGATCAGCCCGTGTGTGTGCTGTGTACATGTATTGTCCTCCGCTCAGACTTCCATGCGGCATGTTCTGATACATGTGTTGTCCATGCAGCAGCCATGTTCTTGGAGCCGGAGGCCGGATCCTTCTGTGTGGTCCTGCCGGCAGCGGTAAAACCGTGGTGGTGAGAGCCGCGTGCAGCCGCCTTCATTTACATCTCCTCCAGGTGCGTGTGACATCTGTAATCAACCGTGTCCCGTGATCTCCGTGTGTATGACGTGTGTCCCGTGATCTCCGTGTGTATAGTGTGTCCTGTGATCTCCGTGTGTATGACATGTGTCCCGTGATCTCCGTGTGTATGACGTGTATAGTGTGTCCGTGATCTCGGTGATGTTTATCTCGCAGGTTGAGTGTGCCAGACTGTGCCGGGAGAGCAGTGCCGGAACGGTGACTCGTCTTCGCACTCTCTTCTCTCGTGCCGGTGATTGCCGCCCCTGCGTGTTGCTGCTCTGCCATGTGGATGTTTTGGGGAGAGAGAGAGACGGCTCTGGAGAGGACATGCGTGTCACCGCTGCTCTGTGCCGCCTCTTGTTGGACTCCACATACAGGTGCGTCCAAACTACACCGAGAGCGCCGTCTTCATCTCCCTTCCCCCCGTGTCGCTAGAGACTCCGCCCTCCTGAGCCCGCTCTGCCTGTAGAGACTCCGCCCTCCTGAGCCCGCTCTGCCTGTAGAGACTCCGCCCTCCTGAGCCCGCGCTGCCTGTAGAGACTCCGCCCTCCTGAGCCCGCTCTGCCTTTAGAGACTCCGCCCTCCTGAGCCCACTGTGTTTTCAGGGATTGGCCGCTGATTGTTGTCGCTACTTCCTGTCGCCCCGGGGACGTCTCCTTGGACCTCCAGTCGTGCTTTATCCATGAAGTTTCCCTTCAGACGCCTTCCGAAGATCAGCGCCGCTCCATGCTCACCGCCCTCAGCGCTCCTCTCACACTCGCCACAGACGTCAACATCCCCCAGGTGGCTCGCAGGACTGCGGTGAGTAACCGGCTGATGTCACACTCCTAGAGACGCATGGTGTATGTTCTGCAGACTCCAGGTGTCCTGGGTGATGTCACACTCCTAGAGACGCATGGTGTATGTTCTATAGACTCCAGGTGTCCTGGGTGATGTCACACTCCTAGAGACGCATGGTGTATGTTCTATAGACTCCAGGTGTCCTGGGTGATGTCACACTCCTAGAGACGCATGGTGTATGTTCTATAGACTCCAGGTGTCCTGGGTGATGTCACACTCCTAGAGACGCATGGTGTATGTTCTACAGACTCCAGGTGTCCTGGGTGATGTCACACTCCTAGAGACGCATGGTGTATGTTCTACAGACTCCAGGTGTCCTGGGTGATGTCACACTCCTAGAGACGCATGGTGTATGTTCTACAGACTCCAGGTGTCCTGGGTGATGTCACACTCCTAGAGACGCATGGTGTATGTTCTACAGACTCCAGGTGTCCTGGGTGATGTCACACTCCTAGAGACGCATGGTGTATGTTCTACAGACTCCAGGTGTCCTGGGTGATGTCACACTCCTAGAGACGCATGGTGTATGTTCTACAGACTCCAGGTGTCCTGGGTGATGTCACACTCCTAGAGACGCATGGTGTATGTTCTACAGACTCCAGGTGTCCTGGGTGATGTCACACTCCTAGAGACGCATGGTGTATGTTCTACAGACTCCAGGTGTCCTGGGTGATGTCACACTCCTAGAGACGCATGGTGTATGTTCTACAGACTCCAGGTGTCCTGGGTGATGTCACACTCCTAGAGACGCATGGTGTATGTTCTACAGACTCCAGGTGTCCTGGGTGATGTCACACTCCTAGAGACGCATGGTGTATGTTCTACAGACTCCAGGTGTCCTGGGTGATGTCACACTCCTAGAGACGCATGGTGTATGTTCTACAGACTCCAGGTGTCCTGGGTGATGTCACACTCCTGGAGACGCATGGTGTATGTTCTACAGACTCCAGGTGTCCTGGGTGATGTCACACTCCTAGAGACGCATGGTGTATGTTCTACAGACTCCAGGTGTCCTGGGTGATGTCACACTCCTAGAGACGCATGGTGTATGTTCTACAGACTCCAGGTGTCCTGGGTGATGTCACACTCCTAGAGACGCATGGTGTATGTTCTACAGACTCCAGGTGTCCTGGGTGATGTCACACTCCTAGAGACGCATGGTGTATGTTCTACAGACTCCAGGTGTCCTGGGTGATGTCACACTCCTAGAGACGCATGGTGTATGTTCTACAGACTCCAGGTGTCCTGGGTGATGTCACACTCCTAGAGACGCATGGTGTATGTTCTACAGACTCCAGGTGTCCTGGGTGATGTCACACTCCTAGAGACGCATGGTGTATGTTCTACAGACTCCAGGTGTCCTGGGTGATGTCACACTCCTAGAGACGCATGGTGTATGTTCTACAGACTCCAGGTGTCCTGGGTGATGTCACACTCCTAGAGACGCATGGTGTATGTTCTACAGACTCCAGGTGTCCTGGGTGATGTCACACTCCTAGAGACGCATGGTGTATGTTCTATAGACTCCAGGTGTCCTGGGTGATGTCACACTCCTAGAGACGCATGGTGTATGTTCTACAGACTCCAGGTGTCCTGGGTGATGTCACACTCCTAGAGACGCATGGTGTATGTTCTATAGACTCCAGGTGTCCTGGGTGATGTCACACTCCTAGAGACGCATGGTGTATGTTCTATAGACTCCAGGTGTCCTGGGTGATGTCACACTCCTAGAGACGCATGGTGTATGTTCTACAGACTCCAGGTGTCCTGGGTGATGTCACACTCCTAGAGACGCATGGTGTATGTTCTACAGACTCCAGGTGTCCTGGGTGATGTCACACTCCTAGAGACGCATGGTGTATGTTCTACAGACTCCAGGTGTCCTGGGTGATGTCACACTCCTAGAGACGCATGGTGTATGTTCTACAGACTCCAGGTGTCCTGGGTGATGTCACACTCCTAGAGACGCATGGTGTATGTTCTACAGACTCCAGGTGTCCTGGGTGATGTCACACTCCTGGAGACGCATGGTGTATGTTCTACAGACTCCAGGTGTCCTGGGTGATGTCACACTCCTAGAGACGCATGGTGTATGTTCTACAGACTCCAGGTGTCCTGGGTGATGTCACACTCCTAGAGACGCATGGTGTATGTTCTACAGACTCCAGGTGTCCTGGGTGATGTCACACTCCTGGAGACGCATGGTGTATGTTCTACAGACTCCAGGTGTCCTGGGTGATGTCACACTCCTAGAGACGCATGGTGTATGTTCTACAGACTCCAGGTGTCCTGGGTGATGTCACACTCCTAGAGACGCATGGTGTATGTTCTACAGACTCCAGGTGTCCTGGGTGATGTCACACTCCTAGAGATGCATGGTGTATGTTCTGCAGACTCCAGGTGGCCTGGGTGATGTCACACTCCTGGAGACGCATGGTGTATGTTCTACAGACTCCAGGTGGCCTGGGTGATGTCACACTCCTGGAGACGCATGGTGTATGTTCTACAGACTCCAGGTGTCCTGGGTGATGTCACACTCCTAGAGACGCATGGTGTATGTTCTATAGACTCCAGGTGTCCTGGGTGATGTCACACTCCTAGAGACGCATGGTGTATGTTCTGCAGACTCCAGGTGTCCTGGGTGATGTCACACTCCTGGAGACGCATGGTGTATGTTCTATATACTCCATGTGGACGAGAATATTCCGCACGGCGAATCCGGGACCTGAACTGTCTTCTCTGTCACCCTCAGGGATTTGTAGTCGGAGATCTCTGCGCTTTACTGGCCACTGCTGCACGCAACGCCTGTGCCAGGATCAGGAGATCGGGGTGAGCTGCCTCCATGCCCCTTGTCC